ACTAGCATCGTGTCTGACACAGAGAGCTCAGTTAATGGGATTCATGTTGATCAACAATAGATGTCTTTATATCATTTCTTCATGTAAAGTGATAGGAAACTACTACATAAAATAAATTGATTCCCTCATACTATAGCTGTATTCTGTACAAACATCCTTGTTCGCTATCTCTCAGATATTATTTCAAACACTTTGTTTTAACTCAATCTTCCCAACAGCTCTTTAACTGTGTACCATCATACATGCAGACACTAAGGGCTTCTTTAACTTGCCCCATTATTAAGAGTTTGAAAATCAAACTGGGATTTGAACCCGATTCAAGGTCTTGATTCAAGGCCAAGTTCATTACCACTCCATTGGCCATGTCTTTTGAGTTTTCAGAACTACTGATGCATTTTTCTTTGCTTTGCTAGACAGGGATATCAGAAGTGACTCTTGATAGGTACAGTTCACATGAGGATATGATGCATTTTGCAATATGAAGTGTAGTTTCCTAGCATCATGGTTTCCAAATTTTTGTTTTACTGCAGTCTATATTAAAAATAAAATTTTCATCACAACCTAGTAGATAGTCTCATAAAACACAGTATATTAAAATCCAAAATATCATGTTTAGTCTAATGTGCTAAAAGTGTTTATCCTATGTTATTCAAAGGATTTTATTTCTTTTTAAAAATTCTTGCTATAATCAAACAAACTCCTTCAAAATTCACATCAGAAAAACCAGTGCGACAAGCTTCTCCAGGAGAATCAACAGCACACCATCTTTCCCTCCACTTCCCCTTTTGTGTTGTTGACAAAAATCCTCAGGTGGGCTTTTAACACCCAGAAACCACACTGATTTCAACTCATCTGGGTGTCATAGGTGACCATTAGTTAATTGAGACACCCTGCTTATTTCTAAAAGCAGCGCCTGCAAAATGTGCATGAGGTCCACCCAAAAGCTTATGTTTTAATTTTGATTTTCTTCTTACTTTAGTTCACTTATTGATTTATGGGTTTTTGCTCAATTTGTAGAATCTCTGTTATAGGAGACGTGCAGAAACTAGTGATAAAAAATCAGATATACCTACTTATGGAATATTGGGAAGAGGAGTTCATCTGAATGCATAGCAAAGGCATTTCCAAATTATGCTAAGTTCTGTGACTGAGATATAATGCTGCATGTGACAGTGGGACCTGGGTCATGTAGAGTATTATTTGCAGACGTAACTCAAGCTAAAACTTGAAAGATGAACAGACCATAACCAGGCAGTGGACAGTGCTGTGAGGTCAGATGTAAGTCAGACCCATCCCAAGCTTCTGAGCCTGGAAGCCACATGAACTTCTGGTTGGAAGAGAAAGGAAATCTTAAAGACAAGGCTGGGAAGATAAACAGAGCCAGACCAGATAGATTGCTACAGACAAGGGAAAGGAAATGATGAGGTTTTAAAAGACTGCGTAATATGATAAAACTCAAGTTAAAAAATAACTGCAGCAGAGTGGAGAATTGATTAGAGGCTCCAAAAGATATGAGAGGGGAAAGGAAGGGAGAAGGATGAGAGACAGAGAGTGGTACGTGCTGTTGCAGCGGTGTGCTGGTGTCTTTCGTTAGTCATCTTCCTCACTGAGTAGGAATACATTTCACAGGAACTGTAACCAGACTTGTTAACGTTAGAGCTATCTACTAAGAAATGAGCCATGATAATGGCATTTCAAAAGAAAAATTATGAAAATACAACTCTTAGCTTACATGATAAATTGTTAAGGCACAGGGGAGTTGCACTTTTACTTAAAAAGTCAGATTCTGGTATGAACCTGAATAGTCTAGACAGCACCAAATTATATCATGCTTACATCTTTTTATTGAGTATAGTCCTTGCAAAGAAAATTCCTCCTCTCCAGGGTGTTATGAATCTGAGATGGGCTTAAATCTGATATGCTGAAGGACAGTAATTTTTACCAGTCAAACATGCCTCTCTGGTTACAAAAATTTATGCTTACACTGTCCAAGGGATATATGTTACCTCTTAGCTCAGCCTCTTTTTTCTTTGATTAATAGTTCCCAGGCCTATCAGAACATTGTTGCTAACTTGTCACAACTGGCAGCTTTATCACTTTGTTCCTTCAATACAAATAGTTTAACCCACGTTTCAGTAAAAGGTTTGCTCATTTAGGCTAAATTGAATGTGAACAGTGTCCCCCTTGAGTTCAGAGCTTAGCAGGAGAGGAAACCTCTGCTCTGTCCTACACCCGGGAGCTCATGACACTCAACCACAGGGAGGAAATCAGACCCACCAGGCAGGCTGACCCAATCAGAGTGGGTTGTTTCTGTTGCTGTAATTAACACTACTTTTTCTTCTTTCAGTAAGAAGACCTTATTCATTTCACTGTCCATATCCCATCTGCCATCCAGCCCAAAAAGGTCTTGGTCACATCCTATAAACAACATGCTTTCTCTTATACTAGCTGAGGGCAGCCTAAGATGCAGCTAGTTCTGGGTATGATTAGTTATTAACTAGTCCCGGGCTGCTTGTGGAAGGACCTTGATGAACTCTAATGAACATGCCTTGTATTGGTGTAGTTGGGACTGTGAGTGTACTGGTGGCTACTAAACTGATAACACAATGAACCAGGTAGTCAATATAGGGAGATAAAGGATATAATTTCCTAAAATAATAAGCACACATATCTCAGGTTTTTAGACAGCACTTTTTTTTATGTTTCTATCTCAATTCCTCCAGACCTTCATGTTGACACCATGTGAGTCACTTCGCTGATAAAATTTTATTGAACAAGTAAGCAATGGAGATACTTGGTGTTCATCAGAATGTTACTGCTTCAGATTAATGCTTCTGAGTTTCTCATTTTTTGATTTAATTCTCCACCTCCCTTGGCACAGTGATAAAATATAAAGAAAATATAATAAGGTTGTCTTATCATTAATATTCTACATTTATTTCCTCAGTGTAGAATTTGTCACTTGGTATGCATTCCTGGGTACTGCCCTAAGGCACTTATGTAGTTCAGATAAATGTGATCTCAATGACCTGACGTCAAAAGAAACATGAAAAACAGTGTTGCTATCAAGAACTTTCTGTGACTAGAAATCATGCCTTGGCTTTGAGCAAAACAAAATAAATCACTGCAGCAGGAATGCGTTTTCACAGGAGGCTCTTAGCCCAGAGCAGAAGCTGATTCTGTCCTCTGTGCTCATTTCCTCTGCCAATCCCTCGGCCCCATCCGCCTCCTAGCAAGAAGCTTGTGTCTGCTCGCCTGTCCGGCTTGAATGCCTTCAGTGATGCCCACTGCCTTCAGACTCTAAGTGAGCTCCCGTTGTGGGATTCAGCCTCTGCCTTTCCTCCATATTTAAGCTTCTTCATCACATCCTTCCAGGAAATCCAATTTGCTCTCCCATTCAGAGAAGTTTTTCTTTAATGTCTGTTTTAATATGTGCTGTTCTTTGTTTTCAGATGTCACTTTTACACCTGGAGAACAGGAGTTACTCCTGGAATCCTACCCTGTGTTAGGATTTTGACATCGCACATGTTACTTAACTATCCTGTGCCTTCAGTTCCTCCTGTGCAGTGCATTCTGGGAGCAAACTGGGGAAAGGTTTACAGAGTGCTTCAGGGTGTGCCCTTCCAAAGCCACTCAGCAGAAGTGTCAGGAGATGTTAGCTTTAGTTCGCAGTTACTGTTTTTTTGCTACCATCCTTTAACATCATCTCAGGTTTCAACTTCAGTGAGATGCTTTCTTTACTTCCTCATCACAAACACTGAGTGAATGATTTCTGGCACTGTTCACTTGCTCTTTCATTGTCCCTTTTATATTTTTGTCTGTTTATTAAAGTGGGTCCTACTTTGTTTTAATATTGGCTGGAAATAAGCTTGCTAGTGTGGAAAAAGAGACCTGAGTATGGTTCATTGAGGCTTCGTAACTTGTATTTTATGGACTTCCTGCCACAGTGTGGTTAAGACATGAACAATAATGTGTAAATGGGGCTTATTTCTTCAGCTTTATGTTAGGATGTTAAGAGAGATGAATGTTTACTATATGCCAAACCTGACAAGAAATATTGTATTCCATGTATCCTTCACTATGACTCGATGTGATATTCTTTTCAAAAAATATTTTGTATATGTTATTTTTTTAACTTTTTTATTTTAAAAGCAAAAAAGGATAGAAATGATACAGAATTTCAAAAAAATAGTAATAAATTAAAACTAGTTAATACATTGCATATAGTTATCCCAGAAGCAGTTGCCCGGGTTACAAGATGAAAAAAAAAAAAAACTCACTCAAACAATGAAAGCACAAACTGTTCGTTTTGATGAACTGACAGAGATTAGTAGTATCATTATCTGTCTTGTACACACACACACACACACACACACACACACATGTATACCTATGTACATACAATCTGTTCCCTTCCTCCTCTTCTCCTTTCCCCTATCCCCGTTGTTCTTTCCTTTTGAGCACATTTTTTCCCTTTCATTATCACAATATCTATTGTACATTTTGAATCTTATTACTCTTTTAGTTTTTTTTCCACTATGGAGACAAGATGATATTAACAAAAGAGAGTTTGATTTATTTCACTTATGAGAAACTTAAGGCTTTTGTAGGTAAATGGAGGTAGATATTCTTCTTATTCCCATTCAGACACAAAGACACTGAGGACTGAGGTCAGAGAGCCAGTGACAGACCATTTACTCCCAGATGAATCTCTGAGCCAAAGAACTCCCTGCACTGGTTGTGCAGTCTCGTTGGCTCTGGGGACCCTTTAGTGTGTGAATACATTTGATGTTTCCTTTTCTTCCTTTTCTTTTTTGTGGTCCTGGGGATTGAACCCAGAGCCATGCACTAAACATCCTTAGCAATCTTTCATTTTTATTTTGAGATAGAGTCTCACTCTATTGTCTAGGCTGGGTTCTAAGTTGTGAGTCTCCTTCCTCAGCCTTCCAGAGTGCTGGGATTACAGGGATGTCGTATTTCCTTTTCTGATGTTATTCTAGGTATTCCTTCCAAGATGAGGAAGACATGTTCATGGTAGTGGACCTCCTGCTCGGCGGAGACCTGCGTTATCACCTGCAGCAGAATGTTCACTTCCAGGAAGACACAGTGAAGCTGTTCATCTGTGAGCTGGCCATGGCCCTGGACTACCTGCAGAACCAGTGCATCATCCACAGGTCAGTCAAGTCCAAGGAGATAGCCTGGAACTAAATGGGTGGGAGAGAGTCCACTTCTCCCTCATTCAGCAAAACCTTGCTGAGCATGACATTTAATGCTCATTTAATTCTTGCAGTACTGACACAAGGTAAGGTGATGGTCCTCATCTTGCAGATTAAAACAAAAGACTGATCACAGAGAAGTTCTTTCGGGAGAAAATTTGAGTCTTCTAACATCTTCCTAACTTCTTGTCTGTGAACCCGACTGGCTTAGAAAGACTGCTGAGAGGTGATTGGATTGTGAAGGCACTAACTTATCAGGGAGTTAACCTGTTTCTGAGTGGGCTGTTAGCTGCTGAGACCTCACTGGATGAATGAGTCCTGGACACATGACCTTGGGTAGCCTATCTGGTCCCGGGATCCTCCTTCTTCCTTTATTCTGCTGTTTCCTGGCTGTCATAGTTAGCAGTTCTCTCCCATCCTGCCTTTTAGCATGGTGTTTCTGCCTTGGAACCACCGGAACATGGATTGAAATCTCGGAAAATGTGAGCCAAAGTAAACCTCTCCTCTAATTTATGGGCGTCCAGTAAATGGAAAGCTGACTGATACAGAGCTTAATCTGCCCCATACTCTCAGGAAATGAGAGGCCCAGAATTGATGACTATTGGCACGTGTTTATAACAGCCTATGATGCAGGAGTATAGCTATTAAATGGATAAGTTGAAATAGAAATGGAGGAAGCACATGAAGGGAATGGAATAGGATGGGAAGAAAGAAAATTCCTTGGAGAGAAGATTTGCTTTCTCTAACATCTTCCTGCCCTACCAGCATCTATATTAAATAAACCCCTGATCAAGCAGGAGAAAACAATGTATCTCCTGCACTTAGAGCATTTGTGCAAAGAAGATACACAAATAATGTGAGAAACTGTACACCCATATGGGAAATAGAGAGATAGAAGTTAGGAGTTTTAATGATGATTTCATATTTGGTATGTCATTTCTAAAATAACCCATGATAAATGGTAGAGAGGATACAATTAAATCTCATTAAATATGAGAATCTCATATTACATCTCATTAAATATGGTTTGTAGACATTAAGTTATCACACAGGTCTATCTATAAGCATTGTGAACCTAATGATCATAAAATAGCTACTGTTTACTGAGAATTATGTGCCATGTACTTTCAGGTACTTTGCATTGTATTAATTTCTCAAACCTCACCAATGCCTCCACATTTCACTATGGCATTGCCATTATATAGAAGAAGAAAATATGGCTCAAAGATGTGCCAAGAACAAATAGCTGATATATGGTATTTCCAGGATTAAAATCTAGACCTCTCTGCCCCAAAAGTTAGAGCTCTGTTATGCCAACTCATGTGAAATATATCCATTAATAATATCTCATTAAATAAAAACCAACATGTAACTCAACCACTGTCACCTTTAATCTTTGGAAGAACTTCCTGAGTTTTTACATACAGTTATGTCCCATTTCATATAAATTTGGCTGGATAAAATATTAGGCCACACCCAATTGATGTCTATCTGTAATTTTTGTTCAGTCTTTGGATGAAAACATCATAAAAATGTATAGATTACACAGATACTGGGAAGAACCATTTTTTTCCTTTTCTTACACCTTTTTTTTTGAGCTTCAACTATGTAAGCTTAGGTAGTTATTTAATTTTCCATCTTTGAAAGAGTCTCTTGTATCAGAAATGTGCTCTTAAGTCAACAGTTAAATAAAAACCTGGCCAGTTAATCACACAAGATCTCAAGAGTGAATTCACACATTTTGTGTTTTGTCAATAACTAGAAATCCTATTTTCAAGCAGTCTCTCTTCTAGACTTGTTTTTAGGTGTTTCATAGTTTGTTTTTTTTTTTTTTTTTTTTTGAGAAGAAACTGGTAGTCCATGAAAACCTTCCCAAAACCTTCATACTTACTCATCCTCTCCAAAGTTACCAAAACAAGTGTGTCTTGCTTGTTGACATCACACACATCAGAAGAGAGAAACTTGATAAGCCAGCATAGCCAATAATACCTTCCTACTCTCCTCTGTCCATTTGAATTTATGCCTTTTTTAAGCTTGTTTCCCCTCTGCCACCACAAGGTCAAGATACTCTGAACATTTTTTGCTTTCTGCTTAGAACTTTATTCCAAAAGAAACTTAGGAGGGAAAAAAACCAAAAACATTGTTATAGTTTTTACCCCTCACCATTGTTATAGTTTGGCTTATAGTGTTTATAGCTCACTAATCCAGCTACTATTTTTCTGTCCTTCTCTTCCTCACTTTTTATTAATCACATCAGTTTTTTGCTAGTTAAGTTATAAACCAAGGATTAACTTCCTGTTCCATAATTATCGGTTAGTGTCCATTTTCAGAGGCCACTCTGTATTAAAAGTGTTTTCTTGCCATTGCAAATACTGAATAGAATACCTTGTTAAGCTGAAGTGACACTCCGATACCCTTAAAAAACTGACAACAGATGTATTCCTGGTGCCTACAGACACTGCCTATCGTAGGTTGTATTTTGTAGGCTATCTAGCATCTTGTGCTTCACGTAAGGAGTTTTAATATTTCTATGGTGTAATTACTTCATTCATCTCCTCAAATAAATTATAATCTGCAAGAGTTAGGGCTATGTGTGTTTATTTTCCATTGCATTATTGAATATAGCAAAATGTAAAGGAATGGATAGCTGGCCTGAGCCACACAAATGGGTGATTGACTAAAGCCTAGGCCTCCAAATAATGAAGACAGAAGTCACAGATTCCAACCTGCTGAGGTATTTATGTTGGGTAATCACATGATTTGCCGTTCAACCCAGGGTACTCTTGAGTGCTAAAGAGGGGGCTGCTGATGATAATGGGTGGAAAGACAGTCTAAACTCAAGAATGCTCTAGGAAATTCAGGACATATATCGACATTGTTAAGCGTTTTCATGACAGTGGTCCAAATAGACATCTTAATCTTGATGGAGCTCTGATTATTAGAATTTTCTATTCAAAGTGCCACACATCATGAGTTTAGATATAACTTCTCAATATGATAAATTCAAAGTGTAGATAATTTAAAGAGCAAAAAAAAGACGAAATATGGAAATAGATCTTTGAAAAATCAGAAGGGTTTCTGGATGCAGGCAGCAGGTAAAAATGGTATGGGAAAAGACATGAACAGAAGTAAGACATATTATGTACATATATATACCTTGTCCCTATCTGACTATACATCATTATGTACTACAAATATGTACTAATAAAAAGGACCTCAATTTAATGTAATATCAATTTCAAATGGTTACAAGTGGCTTATAAAAATGTCAAGGGTAAAATAAGCAGTATCTCTTTGTCTAAGAAATTCTATCTTTTTTTTTTTTTTTTTTTTTTTTGCGGTACTGGGGGTTGAACTCATGACCTCACGCTTGCCAGGCAGGCGCTTATGCCACTGAGCTAAACCCCAGCCCTTGTCTAAGAAATTCAAGTGGTGTTAATAATAATATTCTTAGACTGAGGCTTCTGGGGCAGGGTTAAAACTGTAAAACAGTACCAAAAAGCTGCAGGCTACCATTGTCTTTAGAAAGTTTCTTCATGTATTACACAAATGTATGTTTTTAAGGGGTAAGCTATTTTTCAGGATGTCTTATGTAATGAAAACCTTTCAAAGAGTAAAATCTTTCTTTAAAAGAATCAACAAAATGAATGCCTTGTTTGATTGACTGTGAGTTAACAGAACATGTTTCAGTTACTTAGAAGATTGGATTGTAAATCAGACTCTGAGTTCCAAGATATTAAACTTGCAAATCAAAAAAAAAAAAAAAAAAAGAATGAACTACAGAGAATTCCTTAGATGAGAAAAGACAGATCATATGTATAAAACTGCAGATATAAAATTTGGAACCTCTTAAATTCAGAGTAAGAATTACACTTTGCCCCTGGACCTGAGAGAACTTTCAGAGTTTTCCATGAGCAGTCAGCAAGTGTATGTGGGTTAGAAGCAGCACGTACCACCGTGGACCGAGGGTTCCCTGGACACCAGGGGCTTCACTAGGCACATTTGTGAATTATCTCACTCAGTTTTTTCCAACTCCAGACGGTTGATGGTGTTGTTGGCCCCTTTTTACAGTCAATAAAATTTTGGTTCAGAAAAATCAAGTAGTTTGGGCAAAGTTTCAGACCAGTAAATAGGCGAGGCCCGGCACTGAGGGGATGCAGATGTCTTAGCCACTAGACATGCGGCTGATGTAGAAGGGTGGCACAGGGGTGCGTGGCCACCTGCTCTCAAGTACCCACAGTCCAGCCGGCTGGCTGCACAGGCACAGATGGTACGCGCGGGATCAACAGGTGACAGAACAGGCGAAAACTAAAAGCGAAGTATGTGGTGAAGACTGAAGTATTTCAGGGGAGAAGATGATTTTAGAAAATAAAAGAATTTCATGAGAACTCACAGGGCTTAAAAAGGACTTTCATTGCCAAAGCAAGAAAGAGAATCTAGTCTTGGTAAGGAGAGCTAAACGAATGAAAGTGCTTATTTGTTCTCCTGTGGTAATGTGGAATGGCTCTGTGTTAAATTTTTTCTCATCTTGGCTTTCTGGCAATAATGTCTGATTTATTTTTTAACACCCAAAGACTGTGAGTACTGTAAATTTCAAGTGAGACTTTAGTTGTAGATTTTTAAAATGTACAGACTTGAATGTTTGTAGTTTCCTGATGCATAAAAAGTCAACAAATTTCAGTTGACCTCAGAGTCTTTCTTTTCTATAGCTATGAAAGGCAGAGTTACATCATAAACATTAATTTTGAATTACACAATAAGACACTTTGTAATGAAGCTATAACTTGTTGTTTTCTAAATTTCTACAGGAATGAGATAAAAATATAATTAGGGAGCCATATAAATAATTGCAGTACAGCAAAGAATTACAAAAGAAATCTCCCATTGACAACAGAAAGGTTGAAGATGAAATGAAAAATGTTTTTTGACTGTCAAGAAGCACACAAGATTGTATTTTT